AAGAAAGAAAGAAAGAAAGAAAGAAAGAAAGAAAGAAAGAAAGAAAGAAAGAAAGAAAGAAAGAAAGAAAGAAAGAGAAAGAAAGAAAGAGAGAAAGAAAGAAGAGAAGAAAAAGAAACAGGGAGAAACAAGGCGGGACAAGGGCAGATAAGGGTTGAGGCCAGGCCAAGAGTGAGAGTAGAGGAGGACTGGGTTGCCAAACGTGGATGACAATCAGGGCCATGATGCCCAGGTCAGCTCGCTCTTCTCAGCTCAGGCTACACCCTGAGTGGATGCCTTGGTGCTCCACCCAGATTCCCGGTACTGACTGTGAGTTTTGGCTGCCGATGGCTCGCCATCTCTGGACTTGCCCTTGGCCTAGAGGGCAGCCAATTAGCTGACTGACAGGGGCATAAAAGACCAGCCTCCCTGCTTCAGGTGGGATCCTTTCTGTCATGCGATTGTCCACCCAGAGCTTCCCACAGGATCAAGCCAAAACCAGACTCAGCTGTGAAGCACATTCTTGCTTCCCCACCCCCTGCCCCGTCCTGCTTCCCCTCCTCCTTTCTCCTAAGAGTTTGCTCCGCTATAAACCACGTGCCCCCCAAATCCCCATCTCAGTCTCCACATCAAGGGAACCAGATCTAAGACACTTCTCTGACTACAAATTGCACCTTAGCTCCGGTGCCTAGGATGCTGTGTCAGCCCCTAATCAGCCTTCAGTACACAATAATGAGTTTTTAAAAATTTTTCAGCCCGGCGTGGTGGCTCACTTCTGTAATCCCAGCACTTTGGGAGGCCGAGGCGGGCAGATCACCTGAGGTCAGGAGTTTGAGAGCGGCCTGGCCAACATGAAGAAACCCTGTCTCTACTAAAAATACAAAAATTAGCTGGGCCTGGTGGCGTGCATCTGTAATCCCAGCTGCTAGGGGGGCTGAGGCAGAAGAATCGCTTGAACTCGGGAGGTGGAGGTTGTAGTGAGCCAAGGTTTCGCCAATGCACTCCAGCCTGGGTGACAGAGCAAGACTCCGTCTAAAAAAATAAATAAATAAATAATTCTAGTCTCTCACTGTGATACTGCAGTAAATAATGCTAAATATTCATAGTATATGTGGTTAATTGAAAGAAAGAGTGATTGGTTGACTTAATCTCTAGATGGGTAATAAGTAGGTGGGGGAATTTTTTGTAGGATCGCCCCCACCACACACACACACACACACACAGACACACACACACACACTCTAACCAGATTTCCATGGCTCATCCCAGTACCTCCTGTCTACATATAAGCCACCTGCTTATGTCTACGAAAAGTCAAAGACAGATAATCCAGTTTGTGGATTATCCAGACACCCAGCTGGCATGTTCCTCCTCAATATAGCCGACGTGAACCCTCCCTCTGCTCCAGCACTTTCTCGGGAGTAGGGGGTGGGCAGAGGCAGGCAGCAGGGGACGGCTGGATGATGAAACCTGAGTCTGTCAACACTGTTGCTGCTGCCTCAGCAGTCTGATGAAAGATCAGAAACTATTGGGTAAAATCATGTTAGGAATTTTCTGTGGATTCCAGGTATCTGGGCTTATCATCAAGCAGGACAAGGGCAGATAAGGGTTGAAGGTTGTGATTAACAAGTAGAAAATTAAGAGCTTTTGTATGGTGAAAACACCTTGAACAAGGCCAGGAAAATCACCTGCTAAGTAACCAGGTTTGGATCACTGAGAATCATAGTATGATAAGATGACACTTAAAATGATTTAAGATATGCAAAGTCCTCTCCTATTCTGAAAGCTTTCCAGGAAAAGAAGTATGTGGATTTTTCAGGTTTTTCAGTCATTCCTATCAAGGACTTCCTATAGTTTATTCTCCTTCCAGACTCCTGCAGTTCCGGTCTGTTTATCTCTCTTTTTTTTTTTCAAACAGGGTCTCACTCTGTCACTGAGGCTGGAGTGCAGTGACCTGATCACAAGGACTGCAGCCTCAACCTTATGGGCTCAAGCAATCTTCCCTCAGCCTCCTGAGTAGCTGGAACCACAGGTGCCACCATGTCTGGCTAATTTTTCTTTTTTTTTAACAAGACAGGGTCTTGTTTAGTGGCCCAGGCTGGTCTTGAACTCTGAGCTCAGGCAATCCTCCTCCCTCAGCCTCCCAAAGCACTGAGATTACAGATGTGAACCACTGCACCCAGCCCTGTTTTTCTTCTGATTTCAGACAAAAAATAGAACAGCAAATCTTTCTCTTTTTTTATGCATAGTGTGCTTTCCCCCAAATCTGTGGACCTGCACTATCCATAGAAACAGAATGTGAGCCACATATGTAATTTTAATATTTCTGATAGCCACATTTTAAGGTTAAAAAGAAACAACCAAAACTAATTTTAACCATTTTATTTAATTCATTATATAAAAAAAATCACTTCAACATATGTATAACCAATATAAAAAGTACCAATAAGAAATTTTACATTCTGGCCGGGCACGGTGGCTCAAGCCTGTAATCCCAGCACTTTGGGAGGCCGAGGCGGGTGGATCACAAGGTCAAGAGATTGAGACCATCCTGGTCAACATGGTGAAACCCCGTCTCTACTAA